GGCGAATAATTGTTAATTATAGTGTGATTATTAAGATAAGTGTGACTGTTTCATGTAAGTGTGCACATAAAAATATTCATTCCTACCATTTGTATGTTGATAGTGTGCTTGTTTTTTCCTTGTATCTGTTTTTAGTGTGATCCCAGTCATCAAGATCTGTTCGCACCTCTGGATAAGGCTGATAGCTAACAAAACTACAAACAATTTAAGAGTCTAAATAATAATGTAAATTATAGAGCAATTCATAAAATAAACGAACAAACAAATGGATAAACACTTTAATAATAGCAGGGGTTCCACTGAGTGCCTCTTCTTCCACTGAATTCTAAATAGAATTTAATGTTTGTAGAGGGAGGACAACCTCTGAACCAGGAGTAAAACCCTTGAAGTACAAGAGAAAACCAACAAACAACTCTACTCACATACAATACCATCATATCACCATCACATCACCAACACAACACACAGGTATGACACAACATCATCATCACTGTCATCATCATTTCACTATCACCTGCACCACCTTAGAATATTGTAAAATTTCAACATCATTTTGCGATGTCTTTTTTCCCCCTTCTCAAAATTACATCTTGGATGCAAGGATATCATTATAATGCCTATTATATAGTTAGTAAAGATATACATGTAAAAACTAGTTCGTTTGTTCATTCATTCATTCATTCATTCGCTCGTTCGTTCATTCGTTTGTTCGTTCATTCATTCATTTATTCAAATATCAAGATTGACTTACTGTTGTCTAGAGTCAGATGTGGTGGTTTGCTCTACTGATGATGGCTGTGCTTCAGTCTCTAAAACCAAAGGCTCCTGAAAACACATTATTGCAATAGTAAGATTTACAACAGGACTGGCACATGGTTGTATATCAGCTATAGAATGAGCATATACCACCAAACTAAAATCCTTCAAATTCAAGTGTTATGATTCTTTACCCTGACAAAATCTCTGGGCTAATCAAAATCAAGGTATGGCTAACACAAAGATAGAACCCTGAAACAACCTCTGGGCTAATCAAAATCAAGGTATGGCTAACAGAGACAAAGATAGAACCCTGAAACAACCTCTGGGCTAATCAAAATCAAGGTATGGCTAACACAAAGATAGAACCCTGAAACAACCTCTGGGCTGATAAAAATAGGGGTACGGCTAACACAAAGATAGAACCCTGAAACAACCTCTGGACTGATAAAATCAAATTATAGCTAACACAAAGATAGAACCCTGAAACAACCTTTGGGCTAGTCAAAATCAGGGCATGTCTGAGTTAGATCAAATAGAAATCTAGTGTGTAAGGTCTTTGTGATTTGGGAGAGAAAAACTGGAGGACCTGAAGCAGTCTTAAACATAACTCAACCAACATGTGATGCCATGTCCAGGAATCAAACTGGAGATCCCAGAGGTGAGAGGTGAGTACACTATCGCTACACTTATTACCCATGAGTCCCAAGTACAAACCTCTTCATCAGTTAAGCCAAAGAAATTACTTGCACCTTCTTCATCAGAACTTGAACTTGCAGCAGAACTTGATTTATTGCTTACATTATCATTGTTATGGTCAGAATCTGATCCACTTAAGCCATAACCTGCACAACACACACAAAACAAAAAATTCAATATACATAAAAATACAGATTACTAAGCAACTCAAACAAATCAAACATCAAGATATTTAAGTTCTGTAATAGTTATAACAATGGCAGGTGCTGCAACACTGTAAATTATTAAACTATAACTATTTAAACCCTCTAAATTTAATCCTACCAAAAATATTATCTATAAATTTTGAAACATTCATCTTCAAATAATACATTAAGACCTCCCAAATTTCATCCTATTGGATCCCTCAAAGTGAGCCCCTTCCCCTTCCCCTAAGGGACTGACCATTAGATAGTTGATGGGAAGCACGGGTGGCGTAGCAGTGAGAGCGCTCGCCTCTCACCAATGCGACCCAGGTTCAATTCCCGCTGAGTTTGGTGTCTTATGTGAGTAGAGTTGTTTGTTGGTTCTCTCCTGTGCTTCGAGGGTTTTCCGGGTTCCCCGGCTTTCCTCATTCCACAAAAATCAACTCCTAAATTCCAATTGGAGTGACAGTGGATGAATAGCTACTCTGTAGAACTGCCACTGCTAAATCCCATTTATTTATTATTATTTCATTATTTATTGATGGGGGTTGTGTAAAAAAACCCAAAAAAAATATCAAGCAAGCACTTAAACCTCAAAAAAATATTGTGCAACCTCTTTTGCTAGAAGAAAAATATCTAACTGTATGCAAAAAAATAACGTGCAAGGGTTGAGCCAAAAAATTAATATCATGCAACCAAAATTCCTGCAACCCCCCCCCCCCCAATCAATTATCTAATGTAATGGTTTGTCCCTAAAGGGAATTACATGTAGATACTGTTGATTACCCAATATTGATGAAGGGATTGTTAGAGGTATTCCATTATCTCCCACAGCAGTCACATCAGTGTTTTTGTTTTGCACAGGCTCTATATCTTCTTCGTTGTCTCTCTTTTTTCTTCTTCTCCTTTTTCTTTTCCTTCTCTTTCTTTCTTGATTGGTTGCCAAGTCATCACTCTCTCTTTTACTGCCAGCTACGATTGAAAACATATAAAATACCAGTGTAAAATTATATGCCTTTAAATTAAGTTGGTGCAATGTTGTACGTATATGGTGGATAAAACAGAATAGGTCTTCTACCTCGTTTTGGAATGTCCCCTGCTTTTGTTATAAGAGAACCAAAGACAGCACCTTCATCTCCCCCTGTTGGAAGAGTGTACGATATATATATACATATAATAGACCTTTAGCAGTTTTTTTAAGGTGTCATCTTTAATTTCTAGGGATGGCAAAAGGATTATGCATGACAAGTGATTCAGGCTAAAATAAAATACAGTAAGTGCATGATGAGTGAAAATGGCAAGCTGAGAATATTCTTTGTTTCAACCCTGACAATTTGTTTTTCTTTTAAAATGCATGTGATTTGTGAATTCCAAGTTTGCCTTCAATACATTTATGCATTTATAGGGTCTAATGCATGAAGAAATATACCTCTACTCTTGATTCCCAATTGGTATAGGTAATAGGACTCCATGCTGTCCAATTAAGAAATAATTGGACAAGGAAAATGCTGAGGACTTCCAAAATTGGATGAGGCCGTAGGCCAAGTCCAATTTGGCAGTCAGAGGAATTTTTTCGAGTCTAATTATTTCTTGATTAGGGAGCATGAAATCCCATTACCTATTAATCATAGAGCTGCCTAATTAATCCCATATCAACAAGACCTGTCCAATTAAGAAAATAATCGAACAGTTACCTATATGGGATTAATGAGAAGCTGTATAATCACTATCGTAATAATTAGAATAAATTATGGAAGTTTCTGCCATACCATACTGTCTAGATATATCTTCAACCTCTTCCTTTCCAATCTGCCCCGTAGCAATCTTGTATCCCTGATAGAATTACAATCAAAAACCATTAACTTTATTTAAAAAGGGTGACGTATTAACTCCAGTAGTTATCTAGCTTACGGCCCTCACAAGAAACACAAACAATAACACAATTGTATACTCATGGGTTTCCTGTGGCATGTTAATCTGTAAGTACAAGTTTACCTGCAGATTTCCCAGGACATTTGTAATCTTGAAGTCTTTAGCAACTATCGGAAAAGAAATAGATAAAACTTTGAAAAATAGACTTATGAAATCACTTATAGGGAATATCGGGTATCCAAATTCAACCGTCAAAATGCAAGCGTCGCAAGAGACCTATACTCACTACATTCTCTCAATTTAAACAAATTCTTAGCGATTTTTCAAGACTGAATGCGGATATAATAACTTTATTTCGTATAATTTAAGGTGCTTACCTAAGTATCCTGGTCTCTTTTGTACGGGATTCATGCTTTTTTTACAACAAACTTCTAAGAAATTCTTCCCGCGAGATCCATATTTGATTTAATCTCTGAGCATGCACTACAGGGTGACAGCGGTTGCCCATGAAACACAGCAAGCCCAAAGATGCACTACTTTCACTTTGACTTTCTCTCAGTAATTCTTTCCTTCAATTCCCATTTCAATGTCCCATGATGTCCCATTTAAATCCACCTTTTCTTCTTCTACATAGCTCTTTCTCATTCTAGGCTCTTTCAATGCGCGCTTCATATTTACAACATCACTTTTATGAGAGCTTGACAATAATTAAGAAAGAACTAGGAAAAGATAATTACTTTTTTTTTTAATTTTTAAAAAAAACGGCTAAAATGTATAAACTTCGCCATTACATTTGAATATTGGAAGGACTAAAATAATTCACGTACTCTTGATTACATTAAAACTGTTAAAACAATGTAAATGAAAATTGCAACAAACCCCACAAATATTGCGAGATAAATTTTTAATAAATCGAATTCCCTTCTCAACTTTCTGCCAAATTCTGTCTCCGTCTCAATCTTCTGTAATTCTGCCCCTTTCTTATTCAAGTGTGGAAATGGCTGATCTGGGACGTCTTTGCCAGTGAACTCACACAATGGTTCCCATCCCTCTTCAACACTGTAGACAAGCAGCTTGTCTGCAGGAACTACAGACTTGACTCGATCGTTGTACCAGCGATAGCGCTTCCGTGCGATGTACGTAGCGTTGGGATCCGTGGTGCCAATAATTGCATTCAGCCCTGCCTTTCCAATCATGTAGAAGGTGTTATGAATTGTTGAAAAATACCGAATCATTGGATTCTTATAAGCGTCGTCGAACATTTTGATTTGATTCTTGCAACTTTCGACCCAAGCGTCTTCATCGGTACGAACAGTAAGTATCACTTTAGCCTCGGGAAACGCCTCCATCAGTTCTTCAAAGAAGAAGCAACAGGGAAGATCTACGACTGCATCTACATCCTTAAACATACGGTAGAAATCAGGAACTTTATCGCTAAAATACAGGCCTCTAAACTCCTCTTCGAAGTGTAATAGTTGTTCATCAAAATCGTATACTTTGTATCCTAGGATTCTTAACCCTTGGCTCAAAGATTTGGTGCCTGTTTTTAACAGCCCAGGACAAATGAACTTCATCTTTGAATGTGGTGTAGTACTGAAGCAGCTTGTACAGCGACTGTGAGGTATTTAATTCAAGAGAATTTAACGTGAACAAAATATAGTCAGCAGGTTAAGAATAGTTTCTAATGCATGACCAGTTGTTTTGTCTTTTGTTTTTTGATATCAATTATGCAGTTCACTGTTGCGCATCTCTGTCCTCCGGATAGGAAGCCGATATCAAGTAATTTGAAATGATAGCAATTAGATCATATGCATATGCTTCGCGACTACGACCAATATAGAATACTGATTTTCTCCCTAGAAACATACTAGCCGCAAGTATAAACGGGAGAACCTACATAGCACACAGTTGATGTAATGTATTCAGTAAATCTATTGTATTGTAATTGTCGTTCCATCTATTGTATAAGGTGTCATTCATTGCATTTTTCTGAAACATTTCATCAACTGAGTGCTACGTAGGCTCTCCCAAATATAAACCAGTATTGGCGATTCAAATCACAATCAGTCATAAGTCACTACGCCGACCTGCCGAGGCTTGTGGATGAGAAAAAGCAGCAGTCTAAACGAGAGAAAATAGCAAGTGTATACTATTAAATCCAATTATAAAGAGAATAAATTAGTATGGATTTTGATAAACATTTGATTAAGAAAATAAACGCAAGAGTTGCTGGACGTTTCGATGACATCCTTTCATCATTTTCAACAACATTTGACAGGGGCGGCGGAAGCTAAAAATCTTTGGGGGGGGCACTGCAAAAATATGGGGGGGGGCACTGAAGATCATATTTAACGCTATGTGATAATGACAATGTTTTGTTTGATTGCAGAAGCATGCGCCGTAAAACAATGACTAAGAACCAATTTTTTTGGGGGGGGGTCATCTATATTCATAGGCCCCCCCTCCCCCCGGTTCCGCCC